ACATTTTCCTCTTCTTTATCCAACCACTTCCCATCATCACCTTTGATCCTAGTTATCTTATTTCTATATCTCCTTTAGATAGCGATCAAATGGAAAATTTTGTATCATATCTAAGCCATTGAATGCACGATTTCTGAGCCCAAAATAGTTCCTCTTGCTGCCAAAGATTATCAATTTTTTACTTCAATTCAGCTATTTGCCTTGCTATGTCCTTATTCCATTCCCCTTGTAAAAGATGTTCAACTTTCCCATCAATCTATTATTCAATCTAAGCGATTTCCAAATTCGTTCTTACTCTAATCTGATAACTTTCCTGAAAGATATTTAATATTATTTGCAAACTCAACAATGATATTTTCATTATTAGTTCCTCTCCAATTATCCTTTATCATTTTAATAAAATCAGGGTGGGAGAGCTCCTCTCATCAAATCTGAAAAGTTTCTCACCCTTCAAATCCTTAAATTCGAAGTCAACAAAAATGGGGCAATCAGAACCTATAGCTTCAAGAAGACCCCCCCCCAAACATTAGGAAAAATTTCCCTCGATGAGTATTAATTAAGACACAATCAAGTTTCTCCTGAATAAAATCACGATCATCCCTATTATTTGCCCAAGTAAATTTTCCCCCCCTTAATTCCAAATCAATCAAATCACAGTCTATAATAAATTTTCTAAACTAACCTTTTCCGAATTATAAAGAATATTGTTAAAATCCCTCAACAATGACCATGTTGAATCTTCCCTTAGAGAAAGCCTCGATAAATGCCTCCACCAATGAGATTTTGCATTAACAAAATTGGGACCATACCCAAAAGAAATATTACCAAAAGATTTCCCCTCCCAACAAACATTCCTAGCCCGAATAGAACCAATGTCAGGCACATTAAAATTAATTCCTATATTCACCTTTTCCAATTGCACGTGAGTCTCATTAGAAGAATTGGGGCCCACATTAAGAGTATGATCAACCATATTCTTAGCTGCAACTATATTTAATATTCCACTGTTAATAACATTTTTTTGCAAGCCAATTACTTCAGCCTCGGATACATAAACATCATATCTTTCCTCTTCCATATCAATATTCCCTGTACTTTCTCCACGCAAATTATTATTTGGCTCTTTCCCATACAAAACTTGATCTCCACGCCCAACATCTCTCTACTCATTAATGATAGGAATAATCTCTTCATCTTCTTCTTCAAGGGTCCCCAGAAACATTTCTCCGTTCAGGCAAATAATCTTTCCATATAGCTTTTGAGAAGTTGGCATAAATATCAGAATTAAAAACTTTGGGTAACTCACTGCTATTACTTTGATGATCATTCAAACAACAATTTTTCAGTTCATGACCTAATCTACCACAATGAAAATAGAACTTCTGTAGTCTTTCATATTTAACTAAATCCTTTACTCGAGGTAAGTTTGGATGTTGAACCCAAAGAATAGTAGGTAAGAGGGTTTAGAGGATTCACAGTCACCTTTGCTCTTCCAAAAAATTTAACAAGTCTATCTCTTTTTAAAGGATCTTCAACAGCTAAAATTGTGCCAATTCTTGAGCCCAGAAGAAAAATATTCTCAGCAAATAATCCTTCCTTAAGCAAATCATGAAATTGAACCCAGAAGTCACAAGAAGTAACTTTAATTTCTCTAAGGTTAAGAAAGGGAGTATGTTTCATTAGGGAGAGCATATGTCCTCTAACAATCCAGGGACCATCCTCCAATATACATTGCGATTTGTCCTTGTTTTCAAAGGAGAAAACAAAATGATTATCAACACCATTCTGAATCTCCAACTCACTAGCAACTCTCCAAGCGACTTTGGTCATTCTCTCAACCAATACCCTTGGAATAGGAGCCAGTGAGAAAACTTTCCCCGTAAGAAATCTACATTCTTCCCCTCAAACCGTGACCTTCTCAATTTAATCTTTACATTATTAGGATTGCCGATTTGACCCCCTACCCCCCCCCCCCTGTCAATCTCCATGACTTGGTTTAACTACTTCCCTTCTTGAAGAAAAAACCACACAATAGAAAGACAAAAAGAGCATTGCAATTAAACTCAAAATAAAGCAAAGATGAAGGACCAGAACCAGTATAGTCACTCACACAAGATTCTCAGAGCTGAGAAAGGAAGCTCTCAGAGCGAGAGAGAGTGAACTTGTTTAGAAGTCTCAATCACCAAAAGATGAAGGAGTTAAAAAATCTAAGTATATATTAGTAAAATTAATTTCGTTAGTGTCATGTCATGATTCTTCTGTGTTTTTTTTTTTGGGCTAGATTCTCGTATGTAATGCTTCTCTTAATTTTATTTACGGTCAATTCAACTGTAATGCTAACAGTTTAGCTAGACATAGTTCTAGAATTACTAAAAAGTTTTGTATCTTTGATCAACCCCACTTTTTATTACCAAAGAGGGTGGTTGATAAAAGTTTTTTTTATTTCTTTGCTGTTTTGCTTTGTGCTTTGTACTGTTTATAGTTGTGGTTGAATTTTAGTTCTCATTTCTACTAATAAAAAATAGTATAAGGATTAACAAATTAAGGGCTGTGAACACAAAAAGAAATAAAATCATAAAAAATTAAAAATGAAATACAATTAAAATATAGGGATCTAATATTGTATTTTCCCAAGTTCATACGAAGCATGATTCGCGCAAATCGTAACAAAATAACTTCAACAAATTCCATTACAATAATTTATCAGTAAAGACAACAAAAAAACTAATGAAACACTCGTGTGTACAAGTTCTGCCCCACCCATCTTGACGATTTTCTAATAAATTTTTAGAAGATAATAAAGGAAAAGAATGAAAAAGCGAGAAAGTATATTCTATGTTCAGTCAAAAACGCATCCTTCTTCAAAATTGTTTTATAGGGAACATATTTGACTCTAAAATATTTAATTTATTGTTGTATTGACTGAACCTGATATATTAATTGAATTATTTACCCAAAGGTTAACTAAAGATCCTTCACACATAGCTCAAGATTAAAGAATTATTTATATAATAAAAATAAAATTTAAAACATTCACAACCATTGAAATATTAAATTTTGTCTAGAGTCGGGAATATGGGTCGGGTTACGTGAGTTAGCCCAAATAACTGGTGATAAGAATAGGATTGTGTTGAAAAAATTGATCCAAATATTAACAAGTTTTTTTGGCCTAAACCATATAGCCTATGAATCATATAGTTTAACCTTGATAGATTTGGGTTGACTCGTTTAATCTATATTATTTTAAAAAATTAAAAAATAAAAAATGAAAAAAATTTATGAATATAAACAATATTAGGTATGACTTAATTAACTGGATCAACTTATATATTTTGTACAAACATAATCAATTAATATTTTAATATATTCAGAATGAATAATGAAAGAATATCAAATTAAAACTTATTATTTAGGTATTTTTTTAAATTTATAAAAAATAAATTAAAAATAAATAAATGAGTTGATGAGTTAACCCATTTAATTAGCCAACCTTCAAGGGTTGGGTTGGATTAAGATTTTTTTAACCCATATGAAAATGGATTGAACCCAACTTAATTTACATTTTTCTCAACCCATATGGATCATATTGGCCCATATTCTCACTTCTAATTTTAATGGTGAAATAATAAACTAATTAGTAATAAGAGTGAAATAGATATTCCAAAAAATGCAACTTAGCTAAGATAGAGGCAAAACGGAAACAAGAAATGCATCCCCCAATTTTTGAGGTAAGATGTAATTTTGAATATTTTAAAATATAATTAATGATGTATTTCTAAAATATCATTTATTAAAAATATAAGAAATAAGATTTTTTAATTGAGACAGTTATAAAAAAAAGTAGAGAGAGATATATATATATTTTCTCCATACGGTTGGCTGGATAAGAGAAAATAGAAGTTAGGGAAAAATTGTTAGTTTCAAATTAACAATAATAATTTTATTATTATTTATATATTTTTATATTTATAATATATTAATGATGGACTAAAAATATAATTGTAAATTATTTTATCATGTTAGAAAAAAATATTTTGTCTAATTTTAAATTTTATTTCTTAAATTATTAAATATATAATAATCTAAATTCTAGAGTGAAGTGACAATTAGGATGAAAATGAAGGGAGGCATCAATCAACAAGAGATGAAAAGATTTGTAGACAAATTTGAAAATTGAATTTTCTCTTCAAAAATTTTTTATATTAGAAAAGATAAATTGGAGATAAAAATGTGTTTATTTTTCTCTAAATTTCTTCCCCCTCCCTTTTTCTCTCCTTAACTAAGTGGGAAAAAAGACATATTATTTTCTTCTCACTTTTCTCTTCTTTCTATTTTTTCTCCTACTAAGCACATCATTAAATAGGATAAACATGGAAATGATACATAATTTTAAAGATAGTCATAACATGTGTGTGTACGCATATACTCCTTCAATTATGAAATTTGAGACATTTTTAAAAAAATTAAATGTTAAAAAATATAAGATATTTTTAATATTTTAAAGAGTAACCATTGTCTTTTCTTAAAAATGTTCTTAATGAATAAATAATTTATATTTATTTTAAAGTAAAATAATTTATTAAATAGAGGTAAATATAAAAATATAATGTTAAATTGAAGATAAACAATTAATTTATTAAAAATTTAATTAAAAATACCTTATATTTTTTAATATGAGGAATATATTATTGAAAAAAATTTATATACTTTGCTTTATATATTTAAAGTGTTTGTATTTCATTAAATCATGTGAATTTTTTATAAATTATTTTTTAATAATAAATTTTTTATTAATTAAATTAATGCATAAAGATTCACATGATTTGATTATAAATATTAATATTAATACCAAAATGAATAAATGAATGAAATAATGAATAATACGCGTGGATCTCAGGGGAATCGGCTATGACCGCTAGGGGCAATCGAACCTCGGTTTTATATTTATTCATTTATTCATTTCATTATTTCATTCATTTATTTATTTTGGACTAGCCCAAACTTGCTTGCTTGGCTTCTCGAGTTTCATCATCTTCTTTCCTTCTCTGGAGATTTCTGTGCAATTGAACATGGAAGCTGCCAAGGAAGAATTTCTCAAGGAGTTTGGCCACGATTACGGGTATCCCAACGGTCCCAAGAACATTGATGAACTTCGAGCCACTGAATTCAAGAGGTTACAAGGTCAATAGTTTATCTCCGTAGAGAATTTCACTTAAAGAAAGATAGGAAAGTGGGAATGTTATTAATTTTTCTTTGACTTTTTTGACTTGTATTTTGGTTCCACTACGGTATTAATATGAAGCATTGTTTACTGTGATTTTCCTATCATATAGACAAAATAGAAGAAAAGAAGTACCTGAAGCTGCTTCTGTGAAACATCTCAAACAATGGTGGCACGCTAAAATTCAACAATCCTCTTTCCTTTCCATTACAATTGCAAGAATGCATTCACTTATTCTTCATGTCCGATATATATGTAGAACTGTGAACAGTTTTGATTAAGATGACTTTGATTAACGGTGAAATATTTGCTTAAACTTTGTGAGGGCAAAATGTGTGATTTCTGTTTCAAGTAGAAGGTTTTCTGTAATCCTCACTACTTATCGTTTTCTTTTTTGTGTGAATTAACTATTTCTGTTGCAATTCTAAATTCTAGATCTCGTATACTTGGATCATGCTGGAGCCACTTTATACTCCGATGAGCAGATGGGGTTGGTTTTCAAAGATCTTACTAGTAATGTATACGGAAATCCTCGTATCCTGATATGGCAGTGATAACATTTATGATTTTCCTTTTCCTTACACACGTGTTAACATGTATGTTTATACGAAGAATTATTTGGTTTTATCTCATCTTCAATTCATGTGAATCAAGGTCTTAAGGCTCTGCATATCATTTGCTTGCCAGTTGAAACCAGTCTGTATTTTGGATGTTTTGGCTTAGTGGTTTGATTTGATTTTCAAAAAATATTTTCTTTCACAGGATTGCCAAATGACAGATTTTAAAGAGAAACAGTGCTATTTCATTTCCTTTATGAAATACTTCCATTTAGCAAGGCCTCTATTTGGCCTTCAATATTACCAGTTATGCTGTCTGTTAAGTATTTTGTAACTTGAAGTTAAAGCCCAAAATTTCAAATTTTAAAGCATAACTGTGTTGTTCAGGATGCTGCAAACACTCTTCTATCAGCAGCAACTGTGCTTGCAGTTAAGGTAATTGGATCTGGCTTGTGCAAAATCTAAAGCAGGGGTGGAACTCTTGCAAATTTTCTAATGATCACCTGTATTAAGGCCTTGTGTGTAAGAAGAAAATTTCATCTATTCTGTGCTTGATGTGATTAATGTGGTCAGTGGAAACTAGAGAAGAATGAAACAATTTCTAAGTACTACTTCCCACATCCTCATTTCACACGCTGATATCTCATTTATGTTTATCAAGGAATTTTGCTTTTGGGAATTGGGGATCTTAGAAACACACACACACACACACACACACACACGTTCAAACTAAACTGGATTTTTTTTTTTTTGGGCATTGGTCAGTATTTGGTGTTTTAAATTAATGGCCCCTGAGGATTTCTGCTTGTTATTATACTCTTCTAATTGTCTTCAATTCAGTAAATATTCTGGCTTAAAAGAAATCCTCTTCATAGAACTTGCATTTTTAGATGTGGGGCTAACTTATATTACTGGTAATTTGCAATGACTGTATCAAGTAAAATTCCTTAATCTTCACACCAGATAGCCAAAGTGACTCCAGTTCTGCTACATTGGAGATCATGAAAGAAGCTCGTCAGCAGGTACATTGAGTTGTCTTAACACATTAGCTACCTGTTATAAAAGTCAATAAAGTTAATTCAAAAACAGCTTTTGTATTAAGAGATCCTTAGGATCAATGACTTAAAAATCAGTCCTGTCTACCTAGGAGATGGTGAATGAAGTACTAAGTTAAATTTCACAAGGGACGACTGAATGCAAATTTTTCTTGGGCAATGTGCCACTGTAGATGGCATTGTCCTTTTGCTTTGCTTAGCAACTTTGTAGGTTGGGTCATGTTGCTACTACTCGCTTACTAGGCTTTTGATATTTTTCTTTTGTTTTCAGTTTTTGTAGAGAGAATTAACATGTCTATAAAATTTTACATTTGGCTTGAATTTTTGAACTGTGAACCATACAGGTCCTTGACTACTGCAAAGCATCTCCAAAAGACTATAAATGTATATTTACCTCCGGGGCTACAGCAGCATTGAAGTTGGTTGGCGAGGCTTTTCCATGGAGTTGTAAGAGCCATTTCATGTATTCAATGGAGAATCATAATAGTGTTCTTGGAATAAGAGAGTATCCTTTCTGATAACTAAATTATTCAGGACTATAGATATGATGAGTTTATGAGTACCAAACACAATTGGCTCTTCAAGTGGCATTGAAGCCACTTTGAACTATATCTACGATTAACCATTCTGTGATACCCGTTGATCAGTTGTGATGAGTGATTGGCTCAAATGATGTGTTGTTAGTTCTGTTGGTATTTGCTCTTTTACCATTTGTGATCCAGGAACGGATCTTGTGAGATCTGGGTTAACTACTTGTTATTCTCATCTCTTTCCTGTTTTGAAGAAGAGACTGTTGCACATTAAAAGATCATATACTTAACTGTCTTTAACACAAGGAGGCACAACTGCACCAGTGGTATTCTGGTGGGTAATGTTGAGTCACACTATGCTGTGAGGAAAAGAAATGGAATCATGAAAAAATCATCATGTTTAAACGTGTAACATTTTAGATGGCATAATTTATAAGACTTGCTATCTCGTGCTTGGGCATCATCTAACTTTTTCATTTTAATGTGATTATAGCTTAATTTGACTTTATCTCTGTTGGAATTTGATTATTTTATTTTTGTATGTTTGGAGTTGGAAGACACCTTATCGAGGTCTTTTGGTTAATGGTATATTGGAAGAGTTAGTTTTGGTGAGGCACAATAGTATTATATAATCCATGTAGTTGATCCTACTTGTCAGGATAAGACTTATTGTTGTTTTGGGAGTTGGAAGACAATTTTTTCCTCTACCTTTGTATTTATATATTCTCTTTCTATTTCTAAGAACATTTTGTTTGGTGAAAGGGGAAAGAAACTCCTGCTCCATTAGGATTCTTAAAACATGTTCCATATTTTTTTCACGATGATTACTTTCATATATTGATGATCAATATCTCATCCTGTGCACCTTAACTAGTATTAGATATGCTCTGGATCAAGGAGCTTCAGCTATTGCGGTAGATATTGAAGAAGACATGCATCCTGGTATATCTGGAGATACAATTTCCGTAAGGATATCACCTCACCAAGTACAAAGGAGAAAAGGATATGGATTGCAAGAGCAAGAGCCTGCTGGTAACTTTTAAAGTCAGATTATTCTTGGGGTTTTGGACCTTCTATATGATATCTGGTTTTTCATTTTTTTTATATGCAGGTGATGTGTATGATTTGTTTGCCTTCCCCTCGGAGTGCAATTTCTCAGGGTTGAGATTTAGCCTTGACCTGGTGAGGATTATCAAGGAAGACTCGAGAAGGATTCTGGGAGATTCTTCGTTTTGCAAGTAACATACTACATTGTTTAATCTTGTTATCTCCTTATGTGTCTATTTATGGCTTTAAATCTCTTGTTTAACTAACATGTAAAATGACTTCGTGATGTTTATATTTGCCGCTACAATGCCTGTCTTATAGCACATATTAGGACAATAAATGTGATTGTCAAATTCATGTTATTATGCAACTTTCCTCTTGCTTCTGGTGTCCTAACTGGGATTTTTTATAATGTGCAAATAAAATGTGTGATAGAAAGAGATGAAGGCAACTTTCTTTATTCCTATGCAAAATTCATGGTTTATTGTATTGTTTAGAAGCTTAAATTGTTTTTAGATGCCTAAATCCGAAACAATTGTTTGTTATATATGTATTGGTCAGTATTTATGGTTTTGATATTACTTTTTTTTTGGATTACAAGGATATTTCAGCAAAGAATCCTATATGCATATGTTTACTTTTTGCATTGTCTGTTTTATATGTTGTTTATTTTATTTGTTTTTCCATTATTACAATATTTTATTTATGGCTGGTAATGTGATGGTAATTCCTACAAGGAATAGAATGACCTATTCTGGCTTATGTGGAGGCAAATCTGATATATTCGATTTATCTTAAGGGAATTGTATCTACTTTTGAATATTTTGTTTGCCTATGAAAAGATTCCTTACCAACTGGCGCATTAGTTTCAACTGTGGACATGATCATGCTGTTTTGCTGTTTTCCTTTCTTTTTCTCTATTCCTACTGGTCTTGTATTCGTTGGTGGCTTTGTTATTCTTTGTGACATCCTCAAAGCATTGATGATAGACATTTGCTCATGTTGTTTTTGTAGGAATGGCCAGTGGAAAGTCTTGATTGATGCCGCAAAAGGATGTTCTACTAAACCTCCTGATTTATCCAAGTATCCTGCAGATTTTGTTAGTATTTCCTTTTACAAGGTATTAGTTTGTGAAGTTTGAACTTGTTTTGATTGACCATCAATGACTAAAGAAATTGATGTTTTACCTTGTTGATTTCTGTTAAGATGTTCGGCTATCCAACTGGGCTTGGAGCTCTCATTGTTCGTAGTGGTAAGAAACTTGAAGAAATATTATATATCATAATTTGTTATGTTTGGTGGTTAAAAAAGTATTGTTATCTCTCTCTTTTTTTTAATATTAAGGATTATTATCTCTGAAAATATTGGATTTCATCCTCCAATTTGTTGGGTCATTTTGAGTGGTATCTGTATCAGAAACTGGTCTATATTGTTATGTTTGATATATGACTTGAAAGATATGTTTGGCTGTATGATTTCCAATTGGTTCTGTTAAATGATTATGCTTTGATGATCGGACTTTTAGCATGAGGTTTTCTATCTTAATTCTGTACTATCCTGTTCCTTTCAGGCCATCAATTACCAACATGAGCAGTCTCGTAAGTTCCATATAGGTGGTAAAGATTCCTATGTAGGGCATTCTTAGCTCAATTTTATGCAGGATCAAACAATAAGGGGTTCATTATTTGATATATTCAGGTTAATCTTAGTCGTTTTCTTTTATCTTCTGTTAAGAGGTAGTTGGACATTTGGGAACTCTTGTAGGTTGAGGAGGGTCACGTGGTTGAAAAAAGACCAGAAAGAGGGAATATGAGTTCATCGGTTTGGTCCTTATATTAGCCTAAATAGAGTTTATGTTTTATCCTATGTATGCGCTGTCATTGAGCCTTTCATTAGTATAGTTTGATTAGCCTTTCATTAGTATAGTTTGATTAGTCTTTCTTTTTCCTTCCTTGCTTTTTCTCTCCTTATTTTTATTTAATTTGTCTGAGTACAAAAATTATCATGTTTGCTAAAATTAGAAATTAGAAAATGAATTTATACTGTATGATACTCACTTTGTTTACCCACTTTTTCCACTTGTATTTTCTTCTTTTATTTACTTTTTAAATTAATATGAGTTCATCGGTTTGGTCCTTATATTAGCCTAAATAGAGTTTATGTTTTATCCTATGTATGCGCTGTCATTGAGCCTTTCATTAGTATAGTTTGATTAGCCTTTCATTAGTATAGTTTGATTAGTCTTTCTTTTTTCTTCCTTGCTTTTTCTCTCCTTATTTTTATTTAATTTGTCTGAGTACAAAAATTATCATGTTTGCTAAAATTAGAAATTAGAAAATGAATTTATACTGTATGATACTCACTTTGTTTACCCACTTTTTCCACTTGTATTTTCTTCTTTTATTTACTTTTTAAATTAAACAAGATGCTCAATTAGTCATGGTATTGATGGAATTTTCATGCTTGCTATACTAGTCTAATTATGCAAATGTTAGTCTCCTAATGATTGTCTTCATCATTCCTTTTCAATTACAGATGCGGCCAAATTGCTGAAGAAAGCATACTTTAGCGGAGGTTTGTGGCTTGATGGCTTGATGTCTATTTATGGTTAATACTTCGATGAGTCATTTATGCTGCCCCTATCACAGGTACTGTTGCTGCATCAATTGCTGACATTGATTTTATCAAGAGAAGGGAAGCAATTGAAGACCTGTTTGAGGATGGCACTGTGTCATTCTTGAGCATAGCATCTATTCGCCATGGCTTCAAGACCCTGAATTCCCTAACAGTATCAGCAATATCACGGTACAGAAGAGGATATATATGTATCTATGTTGAAAAAGCCCTTGTTCCTGCTGAACTCTTAGCACAGAGATATTATCTTCTTATTATCTTATCTCTGTCTATTTGAATTTTGTTGCCATTTTGTCTCCAGTTTGGTATTGCTTATAATTTGCAAAATCTGCTTTTTAAAAATATTAATAAAAGTTACGAGAAGTAGTTATGTTGATGACATTTATAGCTTCCTGAAGGCTTCTAAGTTCTTTTTTTTTTCCTTTTGATAGGCAAGCACCAGTAGCATATAACATGCTTGTAATTTTTAATATTCAAACACAATAAAATATTAAAAATTTAAACACAATATAATGTAATGCCAATGAAACATTTACTCGTAACTTCTAACCCCACCTTTCAGAGAGAGCTTTATGAAATACTAAACTATGCCTCTGATCTCACTGAATTGGGGGTTGTGAAAGCTGATTGACTGCAAGATGAAAAATAGCTAAGATGAGTCAAAATACTTTGCCAAACAAATTGACTGAAGGCTTTTTGTCCAACATCATTCCACTCCAAATTTAAGCTGTTGAGTAGAAGTTCATGAATAATTTTATTATAATCTCTAACATACACACCCTGATAGGATCCATGATGGGTAGAGAGAAATAAGGAAGATAATTATCTATTAACACATGAAATCAAAATCTAACTTTATAATATTAATAAAAGAATAGAGAACCGATAGGAGGAAATAAAGGGAATAGATTCATCAAGATGATATAGAACAAGAATCTTGTTCTATAATTCTCTCAATAGCTATGCTGAGGAGAATCTTCAAAGGACCAAAAGTCTGTTTTATTCACGATATGACTGCTTTTGAGTTGCTAAACATATTTACAATACTAAATACAATCTAAAATAATGAATAAAATATAGATAACTAGATAGTTAAATAAAATTGAATAAAATATCCTAAAATTTATATCTATATAAAATACTGAATAAAATCTAAATAAAATTTAAAGAACTAAATATCTGTATAAAATTTAAATAACTAGATATCTGAATAAATATCTAAATATCTAAATAAATATCTAAATATCTACATAAAATTTAGATAACTAAATACCTAAATAAAGTATAAACAATATTATTAAATAGAAAATATCTAAAATAAATTAAAAATAATATTTATTCATAATATTTCTCTTCCTAGATCGTACATTATCTTGGAACTCTATCATACCCCTCCCATGAAAGGCCTGTGAATTGAAGTTTAGGCAAAGTGAAGTCTTATTACACCTTGTGTTGAAACCTAATTTTGATTGAGAAAGTAAAGGAAGGAGTGCCAAGGGATAAACAGTTGACTAGTTTTTATCATACCTCCAATGGTCATAAATACTAAACTGAAAAAGTAATAAGTTCTATGATTCCTGTGCCCCAAGCATTGTTTACCAGAAGTTGCATGACTTATTATTCTTTCTTTTTGGCTTGAGCATGACTTGTATTGCTAATGCTGCATGAAACATGTAAAAGCAGAAAAAGGACTGGAGTAGAGTTGACTATTAGTCATCTCAGACCTCATAGCCATAAACGTAGTTAAATTTAGAAGGAACTTTAGCTTTGTAACTAATGGGGGGATCACCACAAATAATGAGCGCAAGTAACAAAGAATGTATGGATTCATCGAAGTCTTTGGATTTGCTATATCTGCCTTACATGATGGATGTTTCTTAGCTGTTGTCATGAACTATAGTAATCCAAAAGGTTAAGCTGTTAGTTGAAAGCGAAGGATGAGAATGAGATGTGCAATAAGGTGCAGACAAAGCACGTGCCAGTTGCTACCTTATTCTATATTTTAACATGATGATGGGATGATGATAGTTGAATATATGGCCACTGGCATCTGAAATATTGTGTTCAGAAGTGGCCTCCCTAAAAGCTAGAGGTTTTGGGTGAAAGCTCAGAGGAGGTTTATTCATATCTCTGTCAGTATGATTTTTTCCTTAGACCCAGGAGTTTTTATCCTCCCATCTATGCTGTTACAAAATTTCCTTGATTAAAATTCTGTATGCTCTGAGTAGTACAAAATCCTTTTGCCTTGTAGGCATACAATATCCCTTGCCTTGTATACAAGGAAAATGCTTTTGGCCCTTAGGCATGGGAATGGATCCAGAGTGTGCGTACTCTATGGATGTCATAAATCAAGGGTATGTTACTTTACAGTTTGGTTTTTGTCCAATACATGGTTTGAGAATTTTAAGACTTATGTATGTTGTGAGTTCCGAAGTTACAACCTCTCAGTGTATAGCTGTAAATACTGTACAATCTTACGGATCTAATTCAATTTGTAAATTACTTAAACAGCGTTGGGTTTCAATAATAAATTGCCAGACACAGCTGATGGTGAGGTTACACTCCCATAATCAATCAATGATGGAAAACCTGTCCTTGTATTTGTTTTCATTATTGTGGAAGGACTTATGGTCGCTTCCTTGGGATTGTTCATTGCTTCATAAATACATCCTTTTAGCATGTTCTGTCATGAAATGGGTTTTTGTGGAAGCACTTATGTAGCTGACCACGTAGTGGGATAAGGCTGCTTATTGTTTCTTTATAGGTGGATTTAGCTTGATCCTATTGTTTTTCTGAATCCAGGAATTGTGTCATGAAATGGGTCCAACAGTCTCATTCAACATGAAGAGGCCAGACGGTTCTTGGTATGGATATCGAGAAGTGGAAAAGCTGGCATCTTTATCAGGAATTCAGCTACGGGTACAAATGAGGATTTTCTTCATTTTTAAAAAATTATCTTTTCCATCTGTTAAGGCTATATTTTTTTAATTCTGTTGTCCTGCTTTTGCTTAGTAATATATATTTGCTTATTGCTATGATGCTGATTGTGTATCATATCTGCTATCTGTTTAGACAGGATGCTTCTGTAATCCAGGTGCTTGTGCAAAATACCTTGGGCTGTCTCACGTGGATCTGCTTTCTAACACAGAGGTTACTGCCTGTCAACCGATTTTATTTGCTTGCAATTGACATTATTGTTTTGTTGAAGGTTCATATGCATATATCCTCAAAATGATAGTTAGACATAAAAATACAGGCCGGCCATGTTTGCTGGGATGATCACGATATAATTAATGGAAAGCCAACTGGAGCTGTGAGAGTATCCTTTGGCTACATGTCAACATATGAAGAGGCCAAGGTTTGAACTCTTTTCATCATCCTATCTTATTCGACTATTAAGCTTTTAAAACTCTTCTGGATTTTGGATTCTGAGTTCATTTGATTTTTGTTTGGGTAGCTAACATTTACTAATTACCTTATGCTCATGCTCACAAAAAAGTAAAAATGAAGTGAAAGAAATTTCACGATGATGAATTTGTGGTTTGGCTTGGCTTTTTGCTTCATGTGTCAATTTTTGATGATTGTTGACTGCATTCCCAACAATGTTAGCTGATCTGTTGTGATCTAATTCTCGTGTTCGTCTTTTCAGAAATTTGTTGATTTTGTAGCTGGTTCCTTCGTTTCATCTGAAAGTCCCATCAGCAATATAAAACAATTGAATGGTCAGCTCTCTTTACTCAATAGATTTAAATTTAAATTATATACATCCTTCCCAGTTCCCATCTAGAGGGCTTGTATATTTTTTTCATTCATCCTTCGCCTCATTTGACCAAAGATGGGAATAAATTTGCGTTAAATGCAAAATAAAAGTGCACACATGTGTGTAGCTAATTAGTTGGCTTGCTGATGTCAAACAAACTAAAATTTTCAGCCAGTGATTCTTATTGTTGAACTAATTATGAACATTTACTTCGTACAGGCTTTTACAGGTGTTCATTGTCTTCTGGTTACTCTCTTCAATCTATTACTATATACCCAATAAAATCCTGTGGTGGTTTCAGCTCAGGCAGTTGGCCTCTTAGCAACAATGGTAATCATTTACTTTTGGCAGATTATCATCTTATTAATATGAGTTATATTTAATTTTCATCAACTTCTATCACAAGAAACAAGGTTTAAGAACAGAGAAATTGCAATTCCTTCTTTTACCTCAGGCAGAAACATGACTGGTAAACTCATTTCTCATTGGGAAAGTTCACTTTATTACAGCGAAATTTGTTTGGATCATTTTCATACCATGTGGTCAGTTCAATGCCTTGGATTTGAAGCCTGTTTATATAACCGATCCTCTGGGAAATATTGTTCTTTTTATCATATCATTAGTTACAAGTCTGTTCCTGTTTAGAAGGGGATTTTCTCATTTTTCCCCTTTTCAATTTCCTTGGTCTTCTATACAACAACAACAACAAGCCTTTATCCCACTAGGTGGGGTCGGCTACATGGATTGCAAGACGCCATTGTGTTCTATCATTTATCAAGCTTTTAGGAATATTATTAATTAAGAGATCGCGTTCAACAACTTCCAAGAGTGTTCTCTTAGGCCTTCCTCTACCTCTCTTAATCGGACTCAAAGTTATATGTTCTACTCTTCTCACTGGTGCCTCCCTTGGTCTTCTTTGTACATGCCCAAACCATCTTAACCGATTTTCTACCATTTTTTCCTCAATAAGTGCCACCCTCACTTTTTCGCGTATGTGCTCATTTCGAATTTTATCTTTACGTGTATGTCCGCACATCCATCGTAACATTCTCATCTCTGCTACTCCAACTTTATGCTCTTGTTGTCCCGTTAGAGCCCAGCATTCACTACTATATAACATTGCTGGTCTGATAGCAGTGCGATAAAACTTTCCTTTAAGTTTATTAGGCACCTTACGGTCACAAATAACTCCTTTAGCTTTTCTCCAATTAAACCACCCTGCTTGAATTCTATGTGAAATATCTCCACTGATTTCGCCATCATTTTGAATAATGGCTCCCAAATATCTAAACTTTTCCACTTGAGGTATAATTTGATCTCCCAATTTCACTTCCAAATTATTTTCGAATAGTCCTTTACCAAATTTACAATATAAATATTCCGTCTTACTTCTACTCAGACGAAAACCTTTCGACTCCAATGTCCTCCTCCATAACTCAAGTTTGCAATTAACCTCTTCTCTTGTCTCTGCTATAAGAACTATATCATCCGCGAAGAGCATACATTTCGGGATTTCCTCTTGAATATGTTCCGTCAAAACATTTAAAATCAAGTTGAACAAATAAGGACTCAGAGATGATCCCTGATGTAGTCCAATCTTTATAGGAAAATCCTTTGTTTGACCACTAGGCGTTCTTATACTAGTTTTTACCCCCTCATACATATCTTGTATGGCTTTAATATAAGCAATCCGTACTCCCTTTTTTTCCAACGCTTTCCAAAGCACTTCTCTTGGTATACGATCATAAGCTTTTTCCAAATCAATAAAAACCATGTGTAGATCTTTATCTTTACAACGATACTTTTCCATTAATCCCCTTAGTAGATAAATCGCCTCTGTAGTTGATCTACCTGGCATAAAACCAAATTGATTCTCAGAAATACTTGTCTCCAATCTCAACCTGTGCTCAATTACTTTCTCCCACAATTTCATTGTGTGGCTCATGAGTTTAATCCATCTATAGTTAGTACAATTCTGAATATCTCCTTTATTTTTATAAATAGGAATTAATGTACTTCTCCTCCACTCATCAGGCATTTTCTTGGACCGTAAAATCACATTAAATAACTTAGTTAACCATCTCACCCCTTCTTCACCTAAACATTTCCACGCTTCGATAGATATACAATCAGGTCCGTTGGCTCTACCATTTGCCATTTTCTTAAGAGCTTCCTTTACCTCCTTATCACGTATTATTCGATAGAATGACAAATTTTGTTCTCCCTTACCAGTTACTAAATCCTCCAAGTTACTAGATGAATCCTCTCCATCATTGAAAAGTTTAGAAAAATAAGTCTCCCATCTATTTTTAATTTCATCATCTGTAACTAAAATTCTGCCCTCTTCATCCTTAATACACCTTACCTGTTCTAGATCTCTTGATTTTCTTTCCCTACTCTTGGCAATCTTATAAATATTTTGCTCTCCTTCCTTCGTCTCAAGATTCTTATAAAATTCTTCAAAAGCTTTAGAACGAGCTTCACCCACAGCTCTCTTAGTTTCCTTCTTAGCCATACGGTACCTCTCCCAATTTTCCTCATTGTTACACAAATGTATGGCTTTAAAACAGTTCTTCTTATACTTGATTTTGTCTTGTACACTATTATTCCACCACCAAGACTCCTTATCTCTCGAACCAGAACTTTTCGATTCTCCCAAAACTACTTTTGCAACTTCCCGTATCTTTTTCGCCATATCCTCCCATATGATGTTAGCACTTCCCTGAGAATCACAAATTCCTTTATCCAAAAGATTTCGCTTGAAAATATCTTGCTTCTCACCTTTTAATTGCCACCACCTAATTCTTGGTGTTACTACTTGTCGACGTTTTTGGATTTTACTCATAATACACACATCAAGGACTAGGACCCTATGTTGTGTCGTTACAGCATCTCCGGGGATCACCTTACAATTTTTACAAAGTTTTCTATCTGTGTTCCTAACCAAAAGAAAATCAATCTGTGACCTTGAGGCTCCACTTTTGTAAGTGATGAGATGCTCATCTCTCTTCTTGAAACAAGTGTTGGCAATCTTAAAATCATACGCCAATGAGAAATCAAGAAGAGTTTGTCCTTCATTGTTTAGCTCTCCAAAACCAAAACCACCATGCACCCTCGCATACTGACCAGCTTCCCTCCCGACATACCTATTAAAGTCTCCTCCAATAAAAATCTTTTCACTCTGTGGTATGTGTTGAATCAACCCCTCCAGATCCTCCCAAAATAATTCCTTAAGACTGGCTTCTGTCCCGACTTGCGGCGCATAAGCGCTAACAATATTAACAGTCTCACGTCCAATTATCATTTTTAAAGAAATAATTCTGTCTCCTATTCTGCTAACTTCTACAACGTTCTTCTTCCACTCCTTATCTATAATGATGCCTACTCCATTGCGTGCACTTACTTTTCCTGTATACCAAAGTTTGAAACCTTGAATATCCTTAGCTTCTTCTCCACGCCATTTTGTTTCTTGCAAGCAAAGGATATTGATTTTCCTTTGAATCATAACCCCTACAACCTCTACAGATTTACAATTTTATGTCCCAACATTCCAAGTACCAAATCTAATTTTGCTCTTATGGACTAACTTCTTTAGCCGCGTGCGTCCAGAATGACGCGGTAGCCCTTGCTCATTTAACACTACATCCGGGCGCCGATGCAGCGGCTCTAACTCACTTATCACTGTACTCGAGCCATGCAGCGCGTTACTTACGAGCAACGACCTAGCATTAACATTATAACGTCTATTGTCCATGTTCATGATAGATTCAACAAATTTTTACATTGGCTGTTGATGGCCTAACACAACCCTCCTACTTTACCCGGGCTTGGGACCGGCTATAAATATAGGCGGAGTTCTCACCCTTGGTCTTCTATATTCTACAAAATTCTCACCCTCTATTTGGAATATTCTCTTTTATCTCAAATAACCAATGAAGATTTCTCCTTTAAAATACAAAATGTCATTAATGTATATTCTCATCTGAAATTATTATAATTACAAATGTGTATTATCTGGTCTGAAGAAGGAAAGATACTCATTTCTGCAAATTTTGAGCAGGCCTGAAATATGATCGAGAGTGGATTCTTAAAAGCATTAGTGGTGAAATTCTTACACAAAAAAAGGTAAAGCTATTATTTGATGCTTGAATCCTTAAATGTGTGTGCCATAACGTATGCATGCATATTTTAGGGATTGCACTTGGCTTTGTCTTTGTTTATGGTGGTAGAGTTTGATTTCTTTTTTTCGTTTTTTTAAATAATTATCATTTTCTTCTTTCTCATTTCAACATAGTGAAATGAATTCTTATATGTGTGCTCTCTTACTTTTTGGAGTTCCACATGCTTTTCGGTTTAAATCTTGACGAGCCCACTAAATGATACACAATTTGATCATTTTTGTCATTTTGGGCTCCTTATTCCCTCAAACATTCAAGTATAGGAGCAATGCTTATCCTATCAGGCCTTGTGTTATCAAGGCTTATCTTATGCAGCATGCCAAACAGACTCTAAGAAAATTTCCTTCGGTCTAGAGTTGTAACACATGTTTACAATTGGGAAAGTGCAAGGTTAAAAGGTAGAATGGTGTAGACTGTCTCTTGGTAATTTAGCAGCTGAAAACACTTCTCATTGGATAGATAATTGTAGCATTTTCTCTACAGTTACATGCTATCTGTGGCTCAAGGTGAGTGGGAGTATTGACTTAAATAGAACAGCTAGGATACTAGGTCTGTAATCATCGCTTTTCATACAAGTGATTCATTTGTGAGCTAGGTTCCATCAAGTTCTGGATTATTTGCTCCTTTTTTTTTTTTTTGGGTTGCCTAAGTTATCCCCACAATTGGTAGTCGTGAGACTAACCTCTTAAGAAATTTGAGTGCCAGTAAAGGGATTGTTTTCTCCCAAACGATGCTTTTCCATACACACCTACAAGAATTGATTTTTGGAAAGATGCCTATGAGGCCCTGACCATTACTATGTGCGCCACACCCACATGGTGATTCTTTGCTTCTTTTTGCAGTAGAGAGATGTTGATTTTGAATTTGGCGCTTAGATTGATCCTACTACTACTGTAATAATACCACATCACTTGCATCACTCAAAGTGAACACCTGTCAGCTCACGCCCAAGTGCTATATCCTAATTGATCTTCTCACTTTTATAATTCCATCTGAACCCAAGCCTCCGGCAATAAAGGTTTCCAAGGGTTTGTATGAACAGTGCAAAAAGTGATGCTGGTTTGTCTTTATTGTTTCCTTCAGATAATCATAACGGTACAAATGGATGAATCTAGGTATGGAGTTGGTTATTTGGTTTGGGTTAATTTGCATGGAGATGAAAGCTCTTTTTTAAGCAGTGAGGGATGAAGATGGGTCTCTGTTTTCCCATTTCATTTGAATTTTCTGCTGGCACCTTGCTCCTCTTTCTGTGTTCATAAGTCTAAATGACCTTGACTATGTTAATTCAAAGATACAACCTCCAGACCAAGAGAAATTGAAAAGGATTCTAAGTCCAATGGACACTGAGATATGATGTTATATCTCGTTGTGACTGGGAATGTGACCTGTTATATGTTACAGGCTGCATAATTTTTACTTTCTTTTAATATTAAGTGCTGATTTAATTGGCTTAATTTTTTGTTATCTGGTGATTGTTATATTGTGCATGTCTATCTACTTTGATCTTGTGTATTCTATAAAATATTTCTTTTTTTTTTTTAATGTTTTCTGTAATGGCATTTTGAGGGCTTGCTGCCATTGATTGGCATGTTCCATTGACAATGAAGCTGAAGTAGTTGGCTGGGAAAGCTTCAGGAAACATCTACAATAAATTAAGTGAAATAAAAGAAACTAAGTTGCAATTTGATTTCTGATTCACTAAACCATGTTGCACCTATATGTTGTTAAAGGGAAGGACACATTATTTGTTTTTACTTTTTACAGGAACAACTGAAAGCAGAGAATTTTTCTGGGACCAAAATGTAAATGTAATCATTTTTTTAATGGTGGCTGATGAGTCTGGATACCCTGCTAAGAAAGTTAGATGAATGGGGCAAATGCTATGGCAAATCTAACTAATAAATCAACACGCTTCACATAAATGCCCTTATCTGTAGTTATATGAATCTAGTTCGGTTGGCCTTGTCTTTTTACTCTTCTAATAAACAGTGTTCTAAGAAGCACATCGTTTCTTGGCAGAATTGTTCCGTGCAATGCTAAAATGCCTCCCACAAATGGTTGTTTGTTTTTTGAGTTCTAACCTGCCTCAAAACACTTCAAAAAAGGAAGAGTATTAAAATGCATTGGAATGTTACCGAGTTGTCAAGGATAACTATATATTATGATATATTTTATTGTCAAGGGTAACTATATATTATGATATATTTTAATGGTAGCTCTGATATCAGTCATCAGTTCTTGTAAATTTAAATGTAACGTGAATAATTTATTTACAATATTTTGCAGTATCCTTGTCCTAGTTTTTAGTTTTTACAGAAACTTGTTTTCCATATTGGATCGCATATAGCTCCTCTTGATTGGATTTGGGTTGTGAGACAACATTGAGTATTGTTGCTTGCACAATTCTTACATTGTCCCAAATGCTAGCCAGTTCTATCTATCTAATTCCGTTATTGATTGTGTCTTTATTTTTCAGAGTCAATACATTGTATATGTAGTGACATTTTAATCTGTTATGTGTTTATTTTGTAGGTTCCTCAAATGTGTTCTATAAGTACCTATATTGACGTCAGTCAAGGGGTGTTGTTTGTGGAGTCCTTACATTGTAAACAAAGATTAGAAATCAAGCTAGATTCGGATGTGGACATTGGTGGTAGAGAGGATGTTGATTTATATGGTCAGAGGTATATGACTGTATATGCGTATTTAATTTTATTTAATCTTGTACGTTTCTTTGTTGTACACCAGGTTCTTGTCAATTGTTTTGGGTGGTTTCTTACTTGGTGATTATTCTGACAAACCTGAACTTCTAGACTAACTTTTCATTGCGCTCAATTATCTGCTTTAGTTACTAAATAATCTTCTATCATAATTACCAAGGTCTTAATTGCTTTATGTCTCTTCTTTTGTAGTTTTTGGAACAATTTTATGTAGTTTTCATGTCAATGCTACTTTAAGTTGTATGGCATACGAAACAAATGCTTTTCCCCCACTAAAATGGACTTCATGTTGAACTTTTGAGAAATAAACCACCGCTTCAGTCCCTTCTTAGGAGAAAAAAGAACTTGGAAAATGTTTTAAATTTGTTTGATTGATTGTGTTTTATGAATATACTTACATAAACACCAAAGAATATATATAAAGAATACTGTGAAACTCTCAAATATCATACACATACAGTCAGTTGAACAGAAGTTGTGTTTTAATACTGAATAGCATATTGATACTTTCATTCTGCTATGATCAAAATTTTATTGATGTATACGGCTCACACATGTCTTTTCATTTAATTTAAAAATAAAATTGTGATTAGTGTTCGTTATAATTTCTGCCAAGAGGTTAAACCTTTAAAGATGGAGGTGGCAAATGGTTGAAACAAAGAGCATTGTGGAATGAACCATGTGACATCCTGAATTTTGGGCTTAGAAGCTTAAGAACAAATTTGAATTAATTAGGCTACCCAGCCCAATTGAGCCAGCTGAAGTGTAGAAAAGTCTAGGATGGGCCAGAAAGAATAAGTGAGGCCTAAGAGAGCGATGGTGGCATCTAAGATCAGTTTTGGAGAATAATCAATGCACTTGCTGTATTGGGTAGAGGTAAAGTTATTTGACAGCTTTATTAGGTCCTAAGCTTTCTAGAGAAGAATCACTGTTAGATCACAAGAATTGTAGTATATCTGAAAAGGGTTCAGTAAGTAACATCATGGTCAGATATCATAATCACGGTAAAACTAGCAAAGTTACTGCGTTACAGAGTACAACAATTCTCTGGGAAGATGATGGTCCAAGATGAGTTCAAAATATAGAGATCTCGAGTCTGGTTAACTAATATAGAGAGAGTATCATTGACTTTTTCTTAGATGGCGCAATTGCTATCTAGGCTGAGAAAGGAAAGTAAAGAAAAGCAGAGAAAGCTTAGAGAAGGAATGATTGTATTGATTGGGATGATTAGAGGCCAAGATTATATTTTTCTCATGTAAAGGACCTCAAGGGCTTTCAATAGGAGTTTAGAGCACCCTCAAACGAGTATTTTAGATTTAGTTATGATTTTTCAAAGTTTATTGAAAAAATCTGAAAATACCAAATGAATAGTAATCTGAAAAAAAAAAGAATTTTGAATCTTTCTGGGCTTTAATTAACACGTTCCTTGAATTGTATCACTTCCAATTGCATAATGAAAGTGTTAAAAGTGAAGATGTAACAAGCCCACATTTGTTGCTCTGTTGTGTTTGTCAATAGGCATTCACAGGATCTTTGTTAACAGCTTGAACTTTGGGATATCTCCTGTCATGTGTAAGGGTGGTGCTGTTGGCAGATATATTTATTTCTATTTCTATGTTTTAGATATTGTGAATATAATATTTACTATTGGCCTTATCAGTATTTAGATGTGATCTACTCTAAATTGGAGTAGAGATAAATGATTGGATGATTTTCTAGCACCATAGCAGAATTCTACTAAGCATTCCTAAAAGTTTGGTTGAAAATAGAGCACAATGGTGATGTGCAATACCCCACCTAATGAGATAAGGCTTGTTATTGAAAAATATGAATAAGACCTCAATTATTCTGTCTGATATAACTTCAATTTCTTTGTTTGATCTATAAATGAATGTACAGTTATTTAAGGAATATCTGGAGTTGTAGAAGTGGTACGGATTTGTTTCTTATTTTTTTCATTTAATGAGCATCTTGTATTTCATAAAAATTGGGAGTGATATATAGCAGAATTCTACTTCATATGGCTAGCTATATTCTTTATATATATATATATATATATATGTTATGGATACATGAAATGAAAATTGACCACATAGCTTTAGCACCCATGGAGAATTTTTTCCCTTTTATAAAAATAATTTTTTCATTGGTAGAGCAAAATATGCTGAGTGTGATACATATTTTACTTGAATCTCTTAGTCTGGCCCTCACACCAGGACTTGTACCTTTCTCCTTGATTCGTGATCTTGTTTAATTATTATGGTTTACTCATGACTCATTAGTGCTTCTTCTAAATCAAGTTTTTTCTTTTCTTTTCCTTTTGGCTTGGCAGTTGGCACCGTATGAGGTTTTACTTATGTGTTAATGAATCTTTCGCAATTCTGTTACAAATACCCTGATTAGTAAGCAGTAGACATGCCCTTCTATTTTTTCTCCCTCATACTTGGGATAATTTGTGTTCTTCAGGTATATAGTTCATAGTTACAATGAAGACATCAATGCTTGGTTTAGCAAAGCCACTGGTAGACCATGCACTCTGTTACGTAATTCTACTTCTGATCATGATTTAATGTTGTACGAGGCCAAAGACACAGTTACATGTAGAGACACAAAGAGCAAGCTCAATTTTGCCAATGAAGCACAGTTCTTGCTTGTGTCTGAAGAAAGTGTACTTGATCTCAATGACAGATTAAGTCCATGTATGCTCTTGTACTCATTTTCTGATGACATGCAATTCCTTCTGTAGGAAGAGTCAATTTCTTTTAAATATGCAGTAGTTACTTTCACTCTTTGTAGGATGCTACCTTGAATATTATGTGCATTTTATTGAAGAAGTTCTTAAAAGTGTGTGTTTAGTTAAAATTTCGCAAAACAGACATTTGTCAAACTGAACTGAAGTTTGCCAACAGCTCTTATGATTTATGTTTACAAGACTGGCTTTTCATGTGTGTTCTCCGTTTTGCAAACTGAGCCTGAAATGTAGCCAAGCATCAATTAGGGCAAAAGTCTGTTTTCTAAAAGTCCTTTTGCTTTGCAAAAGTATAATCTGAACATAGCCTTCTATGGTCATTGATTGAGCTATTTATTACATTGCAAAGGGGATTTCAATGTATATTAAATATTGACTTGATTAATCCTCATTAAATTCTTTTGGGATACAAGAACTTTCCATTTCAACTTTTCCACTACTTTTCATTATAGAATTTGGACCAATTATAATTGATGTCACTAGATGTACAGAAAGGCTTATCTGTAGCAGACACGCAAGTCAGTCCAAGTAGATTTAGGCCAAACCTTATGGTATCTGGAGGCCGGCCATATGATGAAGATGGATGGAGAAGCCTTAAAATTGGAAACCATTATTTCAGAGTAAGTTCTTTAACCCTCTGTTATTTCGTGACAAATTTAGAGAGGATGTTTTTGTGGCTTAATAGCCTTGGTGCCACTCTGGTGTTCATGTTCCATATTGGCAAAAATTATGCCTTCAATTCCTTTTTAGACTTCAAGTTCTTTGCAGCGCCATTTGTTGCTCTTGCTGCACGTTGAAAAACCTTCCATATGAATTTTATTTCCGATGATATGATGAGCTTAAATGATATTTGGGCTTTAGATTATTGATTATATTTCTGAGCTATTATTGTATGCACTGGTGCCATTCTATTCCTTTCATATCTTTAATTGTAGAAAATAATTTTCTCCTCTTTGCCCAAATTAAATTGGTTGGGTTAGATGACAAACCTTGCTAACTTTTATGTTTGTCACTTCTTGATTATTTTTATTTTCTCTTTTGCAGAAGATTATCAGTCACCATTTTGTATGAAAATTGTCCTAATCAAGAATATAAATAAGAATGATAATTGTTAGGATTTAGATCCAACTTATATACTTTCTATGAGGTTCTCTAATTAAAATATAGCAAATATCTGACTTTCAATAGAATCAGGACTAATCAATCGATTAGGGACTAACACACTCGTCATGAAGAATTATCATCGTCGTCGTCGTCATGATTATTAATAAGGACATAACTGTTTTGTCTGATTTTGATATTTTCTTCGTCTGTTCATCAGTCACTAGGGGGATGTAACCGTTGCCAGATGATCAATCTTTCACCGAAAGATGGACAAGTGCACAAGTCAAATGAACCCTTGGCGACTTTAGCATCATACAGAAGAGCAAAGGTTAGCCAAACAAATCATTATATTGGTTACTATCTTGCAAGTTGATTTCAATTGGCTAGGAGCATATTTGATTTCACATTGGAAACTATTTAAACCATGATTTTTTATAGAAGCACCTAACTACTTACTTTCCATTTAAACCATCATTTTTGGTAGAAGCACATCACTACTTAATTCTACCAAGGTTTTGGTAGTTTTCAACGTGAAATCAAACACACACTATTTAATGCCCATACCTTTAACAGGCAATTGTGTGTTTACTGAACCTTCTCTACATGGTAATGAACTGATTAACTTGGACTAATGGAGAATCTGCTCTGCTTGTTCCACTTTCCATACATGGCGTCATGATAGCTTTTTATTTTGGCAGGAGTGTGAAAATGTTTCATTTTGGTTCTGTAATTTTATAAGGGAGAATCACATATAAGGCCCCCCTTGAAGGAAGATAATTGCTCCACAGGCCCAATAAATTCTAATAATCTGCTCTGCAATGTTATTTTCAAAGCTAAAAAGACCGAACTATTCTTGATCAAGTGAGAACATCTTTGTCTCCCATGTTAACCAAAGGAAATTAACAACAAAAGATTTGTAAATAAAAAAAAATCAAATTATTTATAAAAAAAAATCAAATTATTTATAACAAGAAGTCTGTTCATTCACAAGAGTCCTTATGAGTTTACACTTGTACTTGAAGAGAAGAAAATTTACAAGTCAACAGAAGAAAATTAATAACAGAAGGTCCATAAAGAATAAGAAAAGTTCAATTATTTACATCAAAAAGTCTGTTTGTTTGCACAAGTCTATGTGGGTTTACACTTGAGGCCTTTTCACTCATTAAGCATAGTTCAGTCATTTTAGCTTCGAAAATAATTGCACTAAGTCCTTGCAGGCAATTCTCCCATTTTATAAAATATTTTTCAGTCATCTAAACGTAATAATATCAGTCCTCAAATGTGAACATTAAGTTTAATTTTTTAGAATAACAATGATTTGTGCAAAAAATCATCGTTTGAGATTGTTGAGGTTAGAGGGTTAACAAGATATTTTATAAAATTAAGGAATCAAACTGAAACATTACATGAAGTTAGAAGACCAAATGTGCACTTTTTCCTTTCACTTATACATGAATTAATTCCAATTCTGAGTTTACACAATGAAACAGGGGAAGATCTTGTTTGGGATTTTGCTTAGATACGAATCTAATGATGGAGGGGAACAAAGTGATTCATGGCTTCGTGTGGGACAGCATGTTCATCCAGATCCTGTTTAGTTGGTCAGCAGTTTGATCAAAATAAGGAAATATTTGAGTATATAGCCTATACACACAACATTCCAATAACAACATACAAGGAAGGAAGAAAAATAAATTCAATCTCCATGAGAGAAAAGAGAGTGGAAAATCCCAGTGGTTGGTATATTTTATTGTTGATCTCAGCCAAATATTTTATGTTGTATATTGACAACAAAGAGAGTATATGAACATGTGGATCCTTTCCAATGTAGAAGATTTCAATTATAATTACATATAGAGATTAAAATAAGTTAATCATGATGTCAGTTTGGCTTCAAATATTATTTGTAATCATGATGTCAGTTTGGCTTAAAATATAATTTACTTGGATTACCGAAGAAAATACAGGTTACTTGCACTTTTTTAATTAGAAACATATGTACATGCATACATGTGAACTTTGTTTGAATCGTGTATTTTTAAGTTTTAACCCTTGATTGAGAGTCTCTAAAATTAATTCAAGAAATCTTTTCTTGTCTTAAAATGCCTTTGCTTGTTTTTGTCAATGAACTAGAATTGGGAAAAAAATAATTTCATTGGTATTAGTCATATGTGCATTATAAAAAAATGATGTCATGGACTTTCATTATGAAAGTTAATTTTAGATATTACCAAACTTCTTAATTTTAAAAGGGGTAGGTGCAACTGTCAAATATTAGCCTAATTCATTTAGAGAATATTTAAATGAATATTTATTGTTTCTTTTAAACTATTATTTTTCACTTTATTTTTATTAATTTGTTGGAATTTTATATTATTATTATTAAATTTTTATTAGGCTATTTGAGTTAAATTATTTAACTTTTTATTGGGATTGTAGTAACATGTATAAAAAAATTTTGTTTAAATTTTTGTTGGATTATTTGAGTAGAGATAATGATTGTTTTGGCATATAAATTAAATTATATTATTTTTATATAATATATCTAATGCATATCTACAAATATAAAAGGGAAAATTATTTTTAGGTTTCACATGTGCAATCTAAATGTAAAATAAAATAAGTTTCTATGACATTTTATATTTTTTTAATTGAAATTGTCAATTTCGTTATATTGGAATTGTCAATTACTATTGGTGGAATTGTTCGGTGGACTTTTAAGCAACAATAATTAATTATTAAATGACAACTAATAATTTCAATAGAGGACGGGATTTCGAAATAACTTCGTAATTTTATGAAACTTTTTTTTATATCTAAATTACTTTTATGAGACCTGAAAATGATTTTTCCAAGGTAAAAATCTTGCCATCTTGGTTGAGTTTCGATGTTGAACTTTAAACTCTCACGTGCTAAGCTTGCAACATTCTCCAATTCTTACTTTGAACCTACCTACTTTACCCCCCCCCCCCTCCCCCTTAAAAAAAAAAAAAAACCCCAAACAGCCAAAAAGAAAAAGAAAAGAGAAAAAACCATCAAAATTATTAGCATCATCCATTTGTTCATGATTCACAAGGAGCAACAGCAACACCACTGACAAATTGTTAGATTTAGTCTGGCAAAGAGTTTAACTAAAATATGTCTTTAATTTTTAGGTACAAGATAATATGTAACTAAAGAGGATTCCGATGTTTCAGTCAGAAGCAACAAACATAAAGGCACAGCAGGGACAAGAAACCGTCTTCTGTTCTGCTGCCTCGTACATACAAAGCAGGATAAATGAAGGACCTTTAGCAGATAATAACATAATTTTACCGAATCCAAAATAAATCCACAGATAGCAATCAGTTCTCCTACCAGTTTATTTTATTGTACACAGGTATTTAGAACCAATCTTGTTCGAAACATTATTAGGAATTAAATATAAGCACTTCTCCTAATAGAGATTTGATAAAATACCCAGAGAGACCCTCAACCTCATGGATTTAAGGGACACCTCTCCCATGCTAGTCATGCATGATATGACGCAACAGTTCAACCAAGCAAAGCCAAAGCAATCATTCCAACACGGACAGCAATCAAGGATGTAGGCATAATACATTAATACCTCTGGCCGAGAACCAGTAGAATGATCTCAAGAAACTTGAACTTCACTGCATGCATCTTTGCCTCCCAATTATAAAATTATGATATGACACCTAATGACAGTACTCAATTATTTCACACGGAAAGGAAATCGTGTTTCATATATGGACTTCAGCTACTCCACGGAACTGTCTTCCCATGGATATGACAGTTCGTAGTAAACACTCCACTATTCTATTCATCATCTTCAGAATGGTGTCTTCGGCCTTTTGCAGATTTCTTCAAATCCCTGCCCATTCTTGAATCATCCAGATCACTTGGATCAGTGTCGGTTGATGATTCTGCCTTCCTAGTTCTCCGTCTATGTCTTCTCCCAGAATCCTCAGATGTTTCAGAATCAGAATCTGATCGACAGCTTCTCCTTCTCCTCTTCTCCTTCCGACTCTTTCTTCTATGCTTACGGTCATAATTCTCCGCTGAAGACTTGCCCCTCTTCCGCCTGTGCTCCCTCCTCCTCTTCCTCTTCCTTAAATCTGAATCATCCGAATCAGAATCACTAATTTCTCTCTTCCCATGCCTCCTTTTTGATCTCCCTCTCTTCTTCCTCTTGCCAGAGCCAGAATCAGACTCATCTTCATCAGAGTCCTTCCTTTTTCTTGAAGAACCTCCCTTTTTGTTGATTTTCTTCCCGGATCTTTCCGCAATAATTCTCTCAATCTCTGAGTCTACCTCGGAGTCTGAACTCTCACTCTCATCCTCCTCATCACTCTCATCCGAGCTCTTAACAGTACTTCTTTCAACCTTAGCTGCCCTTCCCTTCAATTTATCCAGTGCAATCAATGCCGGAACTTGCATAGCTTCTGCATCCTTCTCCTCATTATCATCCTTGACCTTTACATAGTTCTTACACTGAAACTTGAGATGCCCAACACGCCCACACTTCTTGCAGCATCCTCGATCCACGTCCACATTAGAATTTGATATTTTAGCAAGTGCAAGGAGTCCTTGGAAGCTGGCATATGCATTTTCAGCATCTGGTTCTGCATTTGCCGCTATCTCTGAAGTATCCTTCTTGTCTTCCTTGTTGGGTGCATATGGATCATAACCTATAGCACTCTGCCATATGCCATGGGTTTGAAGGGCTGCACTACTGTGAACCCGATTGTTTGCAGGCATACGAACTCTACCCGCAGTAGCCGGCATCTTGAAATTTTGATATTAATCCCTGTAAGAAACAGACCACAATTCTCAGGAGATTTAACAAAAATCCAGAACTAAACCATAGGCGGGCCCATAACACAATCTGCGCCCACTGAAATCTTTGAAATATGCATAGTTGATAAAATACCCTTTTAATTTTTGTTCCAGACACTATGACACAACTCAAAGCCAAGTCATTTACAAGATCGTACATCACAAATACCTCGAGAATTTGCCAAAATTGTTGATAATACAAAAAGATTAATAAACAGAATGCCAATACACAATAATCTAACATTGCAAAACAACACAATCCAAATCATACAAGTCGCTAGTATCAAAAATGAAAAGGGAAGAAGTGTAATAGCCAATTACACATCATTCAAGAAAAAACTAGTACCCAAAATATATATATATATATATATATATCCATATGTAAATATTCCCAAATTCAAAAGCGTCAATATTCAAATGATTACACGACCAGATTCAAAGCCAAATTAAAATGAAAAGTTTTAAAACAAATCAAGAAGAGCCACGTAGGGAACAGATAACACTGGGAACAAACTCCAATCTAGATTCAAAGCCAGATACAACAAATCAATCTCCCCGGATTTTGGGAGTATAAAAAACCCTAGGGTTCGAACCTTCTTCACTACTTGCCCGAGCACAACCACGCAGGGCCGACAGCGGTGGACGGCGTCCGAACTAGAATGCTTGTTCTTCGACGAAGAGAACTGGATCCGCTCCTCAGCCCTCGCGAGAATGGGTTTTATCGCAGTTACAACTAATTTTGGGAAGAATTTGGTGCTGGATGAGAAAATTAACCAATTTTAAAGGAAAAACATGATTTTATTAGAAAAAAAAAAAGTTGTTTTTGCGACTCATATTACAAGGTCAAATTAAAAAAAAATATATCCTTTTTTAAATTTTAAAAATAACTTTTTAAATATTTAAATTATAATTAATTTATAAAATTATCCTCTTTAATATATGTTTTTTTAAATATTAAGAAATTCAAAATGTTAGAAATCTCTAAAATAAGAATGACAAGTGCGAGAGAGAATACATCAATGCAGGAGAGATAGACATGAGATAGCAGCAATGTGAGTGAATCACAATCATGACAATGAGAGACAAACACAAGGTGAGATACATCGACGGTATTCAATGAAATAGAGTATGCCAACGAGAGAATGGAGCTACAGAGTCATAATTTTTTATTTTATTAGTTCATGTATTTGATTTTTTGTAATAAACTAAGAGTTTAAAATTTTTTATGAACTATGTTTGATCTATTTTAGGCAGATGATTATATATTTTTCGTATTGTTGATCTACAATACTACATCATTGATATATGATTATATATAAATTATAAACAAGTTTATACCTGATTGTCTGGTTATTTTGATCTATAATAGTATATCAGTGATATATTATTATATATTATTGTTATATAAGTCATATCAGTAAAAACTTACTAATTTATTTATCATTATACAAAGACATATATCAATGATGTAGTATCGTAAATCAATAATGAAGTTTTCTCTTCAATGTCTAATGTCCTCTTCATAATATCTAGGAAAAATAGAGAGGGAGAAAGTAAAAAAGCTCTACGATGAAAATGGTTATCCAGGCAAATCAGATTAAAAATTTTAATAAAGAAAAACACTATATGAGAGATGAATATGATGATTTAGGAAAATTAGATCAAAAAATTTGATGAAAAAATATTTAGAGATAATAAATTAAAGAGAGAGCACGAACAATACTATTTTTGATAATAAAAATGAAAAATTCAATCAGTTAAAGATTAGTTAAATTAAATATATTTTATTTTAATAATAAATTTATTTTAAGGATAAAAAAACAGATCTAATTAATTTTATGAATGAGCCATATTTTAAAATATTTAAAAATTTTATCCATAATTTATGAAAATTATATTTTTTTGAAGCTATTGATCTAATTTTCTAAAAAAAAATATATTCAACCATTTTTATTGTAACAAAATCAATTATAAATAGGTTAATGTGCATTTTTATTGTTAAACTTTTTCTCATTAAGTAATTTTACTCTTGTATTAATAAATAAAATAATTTTACTTTTAAATTATTTTTTAAAAAGCGTTAGGCACCCTATGGAAAGAATTTTTTTACTCCTAAAAAAATAGTTCAGAAATAAAATCACCTCACTTATTAGTATAAAAGCAAAATTATTGAATAAAATTACACCTTAACCCATTATAAATCTGATATTATATTTTTTAAAAAGTATTTAAATATTTATTTAATATAGTTGGAAAATTAATCATTGTCATTATTATCAATATATATATATAAGTAGAGTTAATTTTGATACTTTTCTTTCAATTTTGTATTTTAAAGTGCCATGTGATGGTTTTCTTTCCCCTCTTTCAAAACTGTTAATTTTATTAATCACCAAAAATATTAAGGGAGAATCTCAACGAGAGCCCTAAGAATTAAATTAATAGTATGCAAGGTTTAAAATATTTTGAAACTTTTCTGTAGGCACAAGGACTCAATGACAATTAATTTTTTTTTAGTCTAATTAAAAAATAGTATGCAAGGTTTAAAATATTTTGAAACTTTTCTGCAGGCACAAGGGACTCAATGACAACTAATTTTTTTTAGTCTAATTAAAAAATACCTTTTGATTTTTTTTAATCGCTCAGTTCTATTGTGAATAGGAGTGAAAATAAGTTGAATCAAGTTTTAAAATAAGTTAAGTCGAATTAGGTTTAGCTTATTTTAAAATTATGATAGCCTTTAATTCTATTCTGAATGGTGGAAATAGCCTTTAATTTTAATATTGCTTTGATGAGTTTCCGGGTGCAATTCAGGAATCATCATTCTACTTTGGGCATATTCTGATTTTTTTCGAAAGCAAGCCGACCCTGAGACCCATCTCTGGTGGATAATTGTTCAACAAGTTTAGAAGGTTGGGTGAATCCAACGCAACGATATATATCCATATGTTGGAATTCTTCCAATTCTAAAATTTAAAATAATTAATCATTTAGTGGCCATATTTTTAATTTAATTATAACTTAATCTTGACTTGTTATATCACGATTTTTATAATTTTAATTTAGTTATAATTATTTTTATATTTTAGAAAAGGATTGTGATACAATTTTATTTTTGAAGTATTTTCAAAGAACATTGTTGCTCTTAAATAGTTATCATAGTAATATTTGTTTTAAACTAATTAAATTAGAGCAATATTAGCCCCCTCTTTTAAAAATAAAAAAATCCGTTAACTGAAGCTAGTTTAGAGGGCAAACTATATTTATGATTTTCAAATGACGGAAGCAATATTACTTTGATTTAATTAGTTCAAGAGAGATATTACTATGATAAATAGTTTAGGGGTAATATTATTTCTCTAAAAATAGTGTAGAAGTACAATTACACTTTAATCCTTTAGAAAAAGATTATAAAATTAAAATTGTTTCAAAATTTAGGGCTAATATTTGAAGTTACTAAAATTTTTAAATTTTAAATTTTTTTAATATTTATATTTTTTTCTATAATATGGGACCAATATTTTAGGTGCTTAAAACTATAAGAACTTAGTTTCATTGAGTCAAAATTCAAGATTAAATTACAACTGAGTTAAAATTATAACTCTATAAAATCGATTTATAATGAGTCAAAATTTAAAAATTGAATTACAATTGAATCAAAATTATATAGATCAAATAATTAATTTTTTCAAAATCTTTAATATAATTGGTCTGATATATGGCACCAACAAAAATGAAACTGTCGAAGATCTTAATCACTTGGTAATGCAGCGTTCGTTTAAGGGTTTCACATTTGGATTTTCTTGAGTCACTGAATTAGCTTCTTGCAGAGTGGATTGTCTAATGTCCTTAGGAATTATGATTGTTGTTATCTTGACTTTTTGATTTTGGGAAAATTAATCAACTTGTCCCTGTAATTTTAATAATTATAATCCAATCCTTAAACTTTAACAAACTGTAACTGGATATTTACAATATTGATTCAATATAATTTAGTTTCTATGTTTTTAATTGTTTGGAATATTAATTTCTATATTTTAAAAAAATAAAATAATAAATATTAAAATTATTTTGAAATTTAAGGATTAACATTTTAAGATCATTACAACTTATAATTTTTATAAAGATTATAGAGGTTATCTCTATAGTTTTGTTTTTTAAAATATAGATACTAATATTTTAAATTAATAAAAGTATAGGGATTGAGTTGTACCAATTTAAAATTCAATGATTGAGTTACAATATAATTAAAACTATAAAAATTGAGTAATAATCAATCAAAATTCAAGAAATGAGTTAGTTTATAAGGATCAAAGAAATAATTTTTTCTTTTAATTTTATCCTTCACCCAAATTTTTAGTTTTAGCCTCAGATTAAATTATTTCTGCTCTGCGTAGTGGCACCTGGAATATTCTTGTTGGGAGAAAAGTCTGCAAATTATATGATTTGGGTCCTGTGCTAATTATATTATGAGAAAATATTATCTTGCTTCCCCCCCCCCCCCCCTCTCTCTTCTTTAGAAAGGTGAGCAACGCCCAAATTTTTAAAGAAAATGTGCAAGTTATTGATGGTATGTGTGAACTATAAATCTCGTGAGGAGTTTCATGTTCAATAATGTCATTATAAAACTTGCGACAATTTCCACTTTTTTTAAAATAATTTTCATTTATTTATAATTTTTTTGCCACACATTTATTTATAATTAAAAAATGTTAAAATATAAAGCCCAAAATAATATTTTAAAAGGACTACTATTGGTCTTGTAAATTAGAATATGACCCACAACGTTTAATTTGATCATCATTATATAAACTTCTTCAATCATACCCCTTAAATTTGTGAAGAAAATGCTGAAACATAACTAATATAAAAGTTTTAAAAAGTTAAAAAATATAAGGCATATTTTGAGAGGTTAAATATTAAAAATATTTTTTAAAATATAACTATTGTCTTTTTTTTTAAAAAAAAATTCCCTATTAAATAACTAACTTTATATTTATTTTAGGATAAAGTATCTTATTAAATAGGGATATATATATATATATATATATATATAAAGATATAGTAAATTTGAAAACAAGTAACTATTTTATTGAGGATGAAATTTATTTAAAAATACTTTTATATTTTTTAAATGGATGGAGCATATTTTTATATCCTTAAGTACCTTTTAAGACTTCAAACTATAATTAAGTCAATTAAATAAAAACATGTGGTTATCAAATACTTTCAAACCGGAACTAAATAATCAAGTGTGAGAATTCCAAGCCAAGCGTTTAGTAATTTTGTAAGTCTTTCCTCCTCTTTTATTTTTGAAAAAATGATAGTTAAGTTTTAAAATATTGAATAATAACAGTTAGATTTTAAATAAATATTTTTTAAAAAATAAATTATACATATCAATTTAAATAATTACAAACAAGAATTTAAAATATAATTTAAGAGTTATATTTAAAACTTAAATATTTTATTTGCTATTGAAACTTTTAAATTTATAATTATCGAAATTAATATTTTTTACTTTTTAAAAAAATTGTTGAGGATTCAATAATTATTAATTTAAAATTTTATAACCTAATTGTCACTCCTTTTTTTTTTTTCCGCCAAAATTTCTTCCTTTTCTCATATTCGAAACTCCCTCTCTTGAGAATTATCTGACGCTCACTTTTAATTAAATTATATTCAATAAATTAATTTACTCTTTTTAAAATTATATATTTTCATCTCTGAGACATTTTAACTAAATTTTTTTATTAATTATACCCCAATTAAGAATTTTTTAAAAAAATTTATTAATAACATCTATTTTTTCAGTTAAAAAACACCTATTTTTTCCTCATATTAATAACATTTTAAAAGACTTAAAATATTTTATATTTTTTAATATGATATTTTTTTAAAAAAATATTTTTTTAATATAAAAATATAAGATATTTTTTAAAAAATTAAATATTAAAAATTATAAAATATTTTTAACGTTTTGAGATGTATTATTATTTTTTTAAAAGTGTCAATATTAATAATAACCTTATATTTATTATAAAATATTTAATAAAAATAAATATAAAAAAATAAAATTAATTAAAAAATAAGTAATTGTTTTATTAAAAAATAAAATTTAATTAAAAATATTTTATATTCTTCAACGATAAAAGTAACTTATAATAAGTGATTTAAAAAAAGAAAACATACACAAACTTAAGCAAAACTATTAGATTTAGACCAAACGGCGCTAAAACATCTTCGGTGCTCTTTAACTATCGTTTACAGGTTGACTGGAGATCGTCTTGCAATTGCTGCCGGAGTCGCCTTCAAAGCTTGCCTTCGCCATCGTCCTCCGCTACAGCCCCGGTCAGCACCAGCTATCTCTGCCGCCAGATAGGACGAGGAATTGGATTGACACAGTTCATTTTGTCGGTCCTCATTCTTGACGGAGGCAGAGCGATTTTGGACGAATACAGACGCAGAGGAATATAGGGGAGAGATATTCAGAGATTAAGTAGAGAAGGTTCTGTTACTGGATAGGATTAGCATTAGCATGCTCTTAGCCTGGCTTCGATCGAGACCCAGCAAGCTACAAGATTTGCCCAAAGCCCACCACCTCTTGTTCTTTTCTACTGCAGCTACTACAGCACCCTCGCTTCCACCTCCTATAACAGTTGATATTTTGAAAGAATGCAAGACCTTGATCCAAGCCAAGCTCTTGCATCAGCAAGTCTTAGTGCAGGGTCTCTTCCACTTTCTCAGCAACCTCATTGGCACCTACATAGCTTGCAATTCCACTTTCCATGCTATTTTCCTTCTCGAGCGCCTCCAACCCTCCCCTTTCCATGTTTTCTGGTGGAATCAATTGATAAGGGTTGCAATTCATGGTGGGCTTCCTGATCGTGTTTTGGGATTTTACTGTCGCATGAAGAGAATGGGTTGGATGCCTGACCATTATACCTATCCATTTGTGTTCAAAGCTTGTGGTGAGCTCATGTCATTCCAGCATGGTGCTTCGCTTCATGCCAGTGTGTATCGAACTGGGTTCGAGTCGAATGTTTTTGTTTGTAATGCAGTGGTTGCAATGTATGGACGTTGCAGTGAGCTACAATACGCACGAAAGATGTTCGATGAATTGTCTTACAGAGGTATTCAGGACTTGGTTTCTTGGAATTCTATTGTTTCTGCTTATGCCCAGGGTAAAGATTTCAATAATGCACTTAAAATGTTTGAAAAAATGTCTAATGATCATTGGATGTTCCCTGATGCTGTGAGCCTCGTTAATATACTTCCGGCATGTGCTTCAATGGGTGCATCATCAAAGGGTAAACAAATTCACGGGTTTGCTATTAGAAGTGGATTGGTTGATGATGTCTTTGTGGGTAATGCTGTTGTTGACATGTATGCCAAGTGTGGTCAGATGGATGAAGCAAACAAGGTTTTTGAGAGGATGATGGTCAAGGATGTCGTTTCTTGGAATGCCATGGTCACAGGGTATTCTCAAATCGGTAAATTTGATGATGCTCTATCTTTATTTGAGAGGATGCAGGTGGCAAATATTAGTCTAGATGTTGTGACTTGGACTGCTGTTATAGCAGGATATGCTCAGAAAGGACACGGTCATGATGCCCTGAATGTGTTTCGGCAGATGTGCTGTTGTGGGTCACAGCCAAATGTGGTCACTCTGGTGTCTTTACTTTCAGGTTGTGCATCTATTGGAGCTTTGCTTCATGGGAAAGAAACCCATTGTTTTGCAATTAAGTCTATCCTCAATGTTGAAGGACACGATCCAGGGGATGATTTGATGATAATTAATAGCCTAATTGACATGTATTCTAAATGCAAAAGAGCCAAAATTGCTCGTATAATGTTTGATTCTATATCTCCAGATGATAGAGATGTGGTTACTTGGACAGTGATGATAGGAGGGTATGCACAACATGGTGATGCCAACCAGTCGCTACAACTATTTTCTGAAATGTTTAAAGTGGATAATTCTATAAAGCCTAATGACCTTACTTTATCTTGTGCTCTATTGGCTTGTGCTCGTTTGGCAGCATTGAGGTTTGGTAGGCAAATACATGCTTATGTGTTGCGAAATCGTCATGACTATGTTGTTCTTTTTGTGGCCAACTGTCTCATAGATATGTATTCTAAATCTGGAGATGTAGATTCTGCTCGTATTGTTTTTGACAGCATGGAGGAGAAGAATTCTGTAACGTGGACATCTTTAATGACCGGATATGGCATGCATGGGCAAGGTGAAGATGCTCTCTTAGTTTTTGATGAGATGAGAAAAGCAGGTCATGTGGTTGACAACATAACATTTCTTGTGGTTCTTTATGCTTGTAGTCACTCAGGAATGTTGGATCATGGAATTAATTATTTTTATAGAATGATCAAGGATTTTGGGGTTGTTCCTGGAGAGGAGCATTATGCTTGCATGGTTGATCTTTTGGGTCGTGCTGGTCGATTGGATGAAGCTATGAAACTCATTGAGAGCATGACCATAGAACCAACCCCTGTAGTGTGGGTGGCCTTGCTTAGTGCTTGTCGGATACATTCAAATGTGGAACTTGGGGAATTTGCTGTAGAACAGTTGGTAAGGTTGGAATCTGAGAATGATGGGTCATATACATTACTTTCGAACATATATGCTAATGCTAGACGTTGGAAAGATGTGGCTAGGATCAGAAGTTTAATGAAACATATGGGGATCAAGAAAAGGCCCGGTTGCAGTTGGGTTGAAGGAAAGAAGGGCACAACAACCTTTTTTGTGGGAGATAAGTCTCACCCACAATCTCAGAAGATATATGAAATTCTCTCTGACTTAATTCAACGAATCAAAGTACTTGGATATGTTCCTCAAACAAGCTTTGTTCTCCATGATGTGGATGACGAAGAAAAAGGTGACCTACTTTTTGAACACAGTGAAAAGTTGGCACTTGCTTACGGCATCTTAATATCACCTCCAGGGGCAACTATTCGAATAACCAAAAACCTGCGCATATGTGGTGATTGCCATAGTGCTATAACTTATATATCTAGAATTGTTGATCATGAAATCATTCTAAGAGACTCAAGCCGTTTTCATCATTTCAAGAAGGGAAATTGCTCATGTAAGGACTACTGGTGACGATGAGTAAGGCAAAATCTAGTTCAAATTATTGCAACAAAAAAGGGGAGAAGAAGAAATAGCTAGTTTGATACAGAACACAAGCAAGGAAGCAAAAGAAGGAATGATGTGAATTCCAGATTGACTTTCCATTGGTCAGGTTCGCTCTTGTCAACTACTCAAATACTTAAGTTTGTTATTCTGAGATAATTTCTTTTATTCTCCCTTTTCCACCTGATGTATTTTACTCTCCTGCACCTCACCTTTTTTCTACTTACATGAAACTTTCTATTTTTAACCTGTGTTTTGCCTCTTTCTGACGTGTGATTCATAGAAGTTTAACATTTTGAATCCAAACTGGTACAAGTATAATTAGCAAATCAAGAAGTGCTGCAAACCTTTTATAGAAGTTGACTAGTGGATATCTTCATCCTTGTAGGGTGCTGAGTTGGTTCTCTTCCCAAGAATCATCTACTGAAAACATGATAAATAAGTTCATACGAGATAATTCAAATTTGGGCATTTTTTAAGCCAGAGTCGCACAGCTCAGGTTGTTTCACACACATTATATTTCCATGATATAAATATGTATGCTCTGCTGGTAGTTTTTTGGGGTATTTAATTGGTCTTTAATTTGTTGTGGATTGTTTTCATTTTGTGAACTCTTGCTGTAGAAAACTTTTGTGATTCCCTTTTTTTATTTGAATGGTCACTGGAATTGTAGATGTCTAGTCATGAAATGTATTGCAATTGGGAAGAAGACATAAGCCTCATTTGATTGCTAGAATTATGACCCAAGAAAAGGTAATCCAGATTGCATTCCATTCCATCATTCAACCTGTTTGGTTGGCTTCTTTTCTAAGCAATGCCGCTCACCCAGCAATGGAGATTGTTGCAAATGAAAGAATGTCCTCATCCTTCTTGATCAGGAAAGAACTTTTTGGAATGTAATGATATGTGTATCGTTCTGACATGCCCTTCAAGAGCCAAAAAATGTCCATTGATTTGAAGCCCTTCTTGCTCTGGCCATCGTAATGCTGTTGAGCAAGGTGTCACCACAAATGGAGCAGCTTTTGGTGTTGCCTGTGAGTTGAGATATGTGTTTTCTGTGTTATAATCCTATCATTATGTGAAGCCTTCATTAATTGTTTTTTTTTTCCTTTTGGCTGACTCTTCCTGCATTCTTCCATTTATTCTTTGTGTTGTATGAAATGTCTACTTTATTTAGCATCTTCAACTTCTTTTCTTTGAAAGTGCTTAAAGTTGTAAGCCCAATGAGTTCTGTGACTTTTTGAACTGAAGGTTGTACAATTATTTTTCAGAAGTCAATTGTCAACACAAATGAGTAGATGCTGAAGTGGAAGCTCATATTGACTTTTACCTCACTCATATTAACTTTTGCAACAAAAACACTTGATATTTTGACAAGTCTTCAATTTGAATTTGACTGTCCTTTTTTATTCATTATGATAGATTTGGATGTCTACCTTGTTATTTATAGCATAAGGCTGTCCCTTTGAAGTTCAGGTAATATGCTCGTAATTCTTTATACTTTCCTTTTGTTGAGTTATTTGACACTTGGGCTTTTAGGGCAACCTGGCCAATATTGTAGAGATTATTAAATTAGTTGATTTATTGTTATTATTTGATTGCATTTGATATATATCTGATCCGATATGGGCTTAGTTGCTTGGTAAGTGGGATCCCTTAGGTGAATCTCTGATGTAATCTTACTATTGAGCAATATTAATAAATATTGCAGCACACCAGGAGAAGTAAATAACTTTCTTGGTTCAATCGCTCTGCCCTTTCATCATGGCACCAAAGGGCCCCAAATTTAATTCGGTGTGGCTTGGAAAACTACAGGCCAGGAGGTAAAGAACATTTCTTAGCATGATGAGGAAAAGTCATCGACCTCATCCCAGCTGAACGTTCATGTCCCTCAAAGCGCCACAACAGAGTGGTCCCAGCCCTGTCTTCATCACGCCACACTGTTTGAATGGGCAAAACAACTTATGACGGAGTAGCAGCATCAGGTTGTTTGTCACCAGCAAATGAAAATATGCCTACATGTCCAGCGAGGCTACTCGTCCCAGTCCTGAAAGCCCACGCTACAGTGAGTGGGTTGAAATCAACAGTATGGTGAAGTCATGTCTCATCAGCTTGATGACTTCAGAGATCAGTCTCAACTTCATTCTGTCCGAGACAGCTCTTGAAGTGTAGGTGGCGGTAAAGCAGACATTCTCATCTCTGAAAAACAAAGCTGCAACACTGACTATTAAAACATTCCTCCACGACTTCCATCAAAACTCTTGTGGTGTTATCGATTATTATAACACTCTCATGAGGCACTGGCATATGAACAGTATGTATGGATGTGTTCTGCAGATGCTGAAATATTTAGAAAAATTAAAGAGGATCTACAAATTTCTCTTGGGCCTCGAGTCTGGATTTGATGACATTAAGTGAAGAATTTTAAGTCTTGAAAAGCAAAGAAGTCTGATTCATGGTGCGAAATGAAGAAAACGAGAAGAAATTGCTTCTTCAACCTGCCCGGCAAGTGGAGGAACCAATCAAATGAAGGAAGGCATAAAAGAGGTAACAGACCCTTTTGTGAACATCGCTCCAAACCAGTTCACGCCGAGTATTTGTGTTGGAAGCTCCATGGCAAGCCTCCCAAGGGGCAATTCTGGGCATGTGGCTCAAACCAATAAAAATGGATTGTCTCTTTCAACTGATCAAATTGAAGTGCTTCGGAAACTCCAGGGAAGCCTGAAACAGTCTAGTGATTTAAGCCCTGGTCTGATGGCAAGTTCATAATGTCAGTTATCTGCTCTGGCCACTGTGTCTTTGGAAGGTAATATTTGGGTCATTGCCACTGATCATATATGACGGGTAACCCTTTGTGTCACTGATTTTATTCCCTGCTCGAATGACCAATTTGTGTCCATTGCGGATGGATCTAATTACAAGGTCAAAGGAAAAGGAGCAGCCACTGTATCTGAAAGATTGAATCTTAAAAATGTTTTGCTGGTTCCCAATCTTAGTTGTAATTTGATGTCTGTTAAGAAAATTACTGAGGCTTATAAATTGCCTGGCAATTTTTTCTCATGATTAGTGTATTTTTCAGGGCTTAGGGAGGGAGACGATTGGCATTGCTAAGGAGATAGCTGGTCATTTTGTGTTGGGGAGCAATAATAAAGAGAATGAAATTAATAAAGCTGGACTTGCAGCTGTGAATAATGATTTTACCCTTTGGCATTATCGTTTAGGTTACCGCAGTGTTGATTACATGAGAAAAAATTATATCCTCAACTTACTGTGAATAAAACTAGTCATTTTGATTGTGAAGTGTGCCCGAGCTATTGAACCTTGACTAGTCAGTGAGCCAATCAAGATACTGGCTTAGAGTTAATGGTCAAAACTGTTCTCAAATTACGATCAAATTGATCATAAATAAAACATTTATTAAATCGATTAAAATGTGGTTTAATGATTTATTACTTTAATTGAGCAAGTTAATATAGATTTTCATATTCTAAGTCAAGTATCTAAGCATATTAGAGTATCCTATCCTTCACATTTGTATACACCTCAACCTTTTATTTAATACACAGTGATGTTTGGGTCCTTTCAATATTCTGAATATCAACGGTGCAAAATGTTTTTTAATTTTTGTGGATGATCACACATGAATGACTTGGACTTATCACATGAAAGACAAACCACTAGTACCCCTCTCATGGATTCGATTCTCGTATACACATCACGTCTTATATATAAGAAAATTTAAGGGTTTTTCCATCGTCTTTGTATTTTATATGTTTGAAAAAAGCGACCTTATTTATCACAATGTAATTCCTTTTAAAAAATGCCAAAACTAATGAATCCTTCTTCCTACTTTTATAGTTTAAAGTTATCTACAATTTATCATTGAAAATAAAAGAAATATATCCCACACATACTTATACTCGTGTATTATTACTTTACACTTTCGAATAGACGAGACTTCATATGTTAAATCAATATATGCGTTTCTAAGTTCAATTGACATTAAATTCATGACTAATGGTTGGTTTGGATGCAAGAAAAAGTGGGAACAAAATATTTTTTAAAATTTTCTCATAATTTTCCTTCCTCCTTATTTTTCTCCTTATCCGAAGGAAGTGTAGAAATCCTCTTGTCTCAATTTCAAATCTTCTCATAAACAACATGACAATCTATGGGATTAAATTGCATACAATGTAGAAGCCACTTAAATGGGGAAAAAGTGATGACTTCAAACAATACCACTAAAGAGAATGACTTGTACGTACATGCAAAATATTAAAGGCATAAAAACAAGAGGAATTGTAGAGAACTGATTTCTGATACACTTTCAAGTGCATTTATCCACAATTAATTAATATAACAATACTTATAAAAAATGAAAGCGGCACCTTCCTGGTCAAACTGATAACATATGTATCATGTCCAAATATTCCATTGGAAGTGATGGTTTGCTGATTTCTTCAAGTTCTCAACATCTTCCTTATACAGCAAACGACACCCACATTTGACTACTTCTAACCCATAACACCCATCATAACGACATTCTGGTTTGAGGGAAAATTCAACTTCATTGCACTGACTAATTTTTGTTTGAGCAGCAGACAAGTAAACAATATAAAGATGAGGTTGATATGGCTCCAAACGGAGCTCCCTGCATAAAATCGGAAATGGAGCACTTCTAGATCCACAATCTTCAAAATAGCAGAAGAACTCATGTTTACATGCCTTTGGATCGACATGATTCACCAACACAAAACACAAGGCAAATCCTGCCAACTCATCAGTTGAGGGCCGGCTATGATGAAGTTGAATTTTCACGAAGAAATGATTATTTTGATGATCAAACCATGGTGAGATTTCACTCCCTGGGGCAACTATCTCAAATCTTGGTTTTGGATTAGGCATTGTCAATTCCTGCATGGGAGAGATTGATATGTTCAATAATTAGAAGTAGATATTCATGATGTTTGATTCCTATCCTTAACCTTCAGCATTAGGAAAAAGAAATAAATAAGAGCGCGTTTGGATGCATAATAATTTGGATTTGAACCAAATCTTCCATTTGGATATATAATCCAAATCGAGATTCATATTTTATTCTAACCTCTTTATAATTTCAAATTCCCTATATAGCCTAGTTATTTGAGAATGACCATTTTCTTCACGTTAACATTACCAGTGCCTTTGTTATTCTCACCACTCCCCTCATCTCTCGTATCATCTCTTACTAGCTGAAGAACAGTGATAAGCTCATTATTTCCGATCTGTTCTTTTTTCTTCAAATCTTAGCTCTCTTTTTCCTTTAAATTTGTTTACACTATCTAAACAAAGAAATTTAAATGCATGGGTTTAAATTCAAATCCGTTAATCTAAACGCTACTTAAAGATGAAGGGAGAATGGATCAGTCATAGAGGATGACGGCATAGAGGATGAGGGCACATACCTGAATAGCTCTTCTAATTACCATTACTGGATCTGTAACATCATTGATGCTTCCAGTGACATGCACACGCTTGGTCGCTGCAAGGAGATTACATGGCCTCCATGGATCAAATCTAGAAGTTTCTAGGGAAGTACAGTTGCTTGCATATATCAGTTCAATTGCTGAGGGAAGCTGAGGTAAAGATTGTAGCTTTCGACAATATTCTAGGAAAAGATCTCGTAGCCTTGACAGCTTAGATATTGTGCTTGGCAAGCTAATAAAATTGTTTCCAGTTAAATTTAGACAGCGCAAAGATGATAAGCAGCCAATATCACTAGGAAGTGATCCTTCAGAAAGATTGCAGTAACTCAAGTCTAAATATTTCAAAGCATGGAGACCCATGATTGGAGGTATTTGGAAGCCTGTGGAAACAGGACGACTCTGAAATAACCACTGAAAGGGAAGAAGCAAGTTTGCTGACTTGGACACTAGCCCTCTGCATCCCTTAAACGATAAAACTTGAAGATTTTCCAGCAAAAAGATGGATGAAGGTAGTTCTTCCAAAGCAGTTCCACTACCATCAAGATTCTCCAAGCACTTGACTTCCTTTAATCCCTCTGGAAGCTTAGAGAGTTTTGAACAACCGGAAATGTTGAGAGTTTTGAGTGACTTCAAACTACTAATGGTATTTGGAAGACAAACAAGTTGTTTGCAGTCTCTTAAGCTCAAAACACAAAGACCAACCAAGTATCCAATTGATTGGGGCAATTTTGTAATGGAAGTTCCCTCAGCATAAAGAGTCGATAGACAATTCATACTCTCCCCAAACTCTGGAAGTTTTTTAACTAGTGAGCAGCCAGTAAGAATTAAGTCCTCAAGGGAACTCATATCTATTTTTGTTGGAAGTGTTTTAAGATTCTCACAATCTTTAAAATTAACTAGAATAAGTTTCTTGTGGAGTGCAAGGGATGCATGAATCTCAACTAGGCCTGTACAACCTTCCAAAACCAGTCTTTGAAGATTAGGAACCCCAGAAATATCTGGGGACCGCAGGAAGTTCTTGGAAAAGCTCAGATCAATGAACTTCAGATATTCCAGAAACTAAACAAAAATGAAAGAACAGACGAGGATTATCTTCCAAAACTCTTCTAATGCAGTAAATCGTTTAAAAGATCTTCACAAGAGAAACTTACCTTTATTCCAATCCAGAGCTGTTCAATTCCACTGTGAATCATTTTAAGGTCAACAAGTTCATCTGGATTGATACTCAGTGGCAGTGTTTTTAAGGGACATCCTCTCCAGTCAAAAATTTTTAATGCACTAGGAAGACATTTCACCCCTAGTGAAGGATGAACATTATGTAATATGAGGAATTTTAGCTCACTTGTCTTTGAGAAGGCTTCAGGGTTCCAGCGTGTTTCATGCTGCTGGGGTAAGTCCAAAACTAAACCTTGGATTGCATCAGTTCCCTAATTAAAAAGGAGGGAACAAATAATATCTGTCTTAATGATGAAGCATTGAGATATAAAGTATGCTACAGTCCTAATGAAAGGATACATGTATCACATTCATCTAACCTATAATCAAAGCTACCTTTAAATATGCAAAACCAATGGTTATACTCCCTCCAGTTCATATTATAAGATGCTTTCTAAAGGATTTTTTGGTTCTTAATATAAGGCAGTTGATGAGACATTAATTATGTTTTTCTAATATTACTCCTATTTAAACTCATTAACTATGAGAGAGAATGCAATGCAAATCTGAAAAAATTAATTTAAACAGAGGTAAAATTGAAAGCTTATTTTATTTTTAGACAAAGGTAATAACTTAACCACTTCTTCTCCATGGTTCCGGTGAGGTAGTTAGAGTCTCAGAAATGGCTTATAATAGGGACCGGAGAGAATACATGTTTGTCTCTCTGTGTGCGCATGTGTTAACAATCAAGGAATGAAACATATAAACTCCCTCTGTTTTCAAATAAAAAGCATTTATCACATTTTCCCTGAATTGTCCTTCATAAAGTCAACGATTTATTTTCACTAAACAAATTTATTTCATTGATTACAGGGATAATTTAGTCCAATTTTTTTCATTTCAGACATAATTATTACTCTTAACTAACATTCTTGAACTGTGTGAATTGATCATTTTCTCTCATATTTGAAAACAAATGGAGTACACTACAATCCCAATGAAAGGAAAGGTGTATTCATCTAATCTATAAATCAAAGAAACAGTTATTTATGCAATACCAATACCTTGATTTTTGTGTGTGATATGTGCCTACCTTATTTTGTACCAATACACGATCAATATCCTCTTGAGACCACAACCTACTACGTTTGCCAGGATTATTAGGAGATTCCTCAAAAACAATATTCCTGCCCATTTCCTGAAGCAAATCATGCATCCATAACTGATTCAATTGCAGTTTGACCAGAGACTTTTCAGCAAGAGTTTCGATTACAATTCCCGGACATAGACCACAATTTTCCCATATTTCTGTCACTCGATCTTTATCCATCCCTTTGAAGAAACATGCAATATCTAGGAACATGTTTCTTTTCCAAGGGATGTAATGCATTGTAACTTATCTTAAGTGTATCAAAAATTTTTGGGTCAGGAATTTCTTGATTTGTTTCAATGCACAGTGCCATGTTTCTACTCTTCTTCCACAAAGAAAGGAACCCAGTACTTCAAGTGCCAATGGAACACCCGCAGCATATTTGACCACTTCATAGGATAAATCCAAATAACCTTCTCCAG